TTATTTATTAGAGAAGAGAGCTTACAACCTATTTGGCCCAGTACCCAGTTCAGTAGGAATGGGCTGTAGTAGTGTTTATGATACACAGGGAATCTAGATATTGACATATAGAGAAAATGAATTGTTGGTAACAACTGTGTTACCCTGGCTATAGCATTAAAATTAGCAGCAACAACAACAACAACAACAGCAGCATCGAATACAAACTGGATAATGACAAATGATAATGCTATATCATTTTTAACCATAGAAACAAGATCTATACTTATAGTACAAACTCTTGGACACCCAGATTTTGATATATAGTAAATATCTACTAAATAGAGCAATTTTATCTCTATTTACAATAGAACAGTGTTTATCACAGTAAGACACAGTTAATTATTGACAGATTCTTAAAGGTTGATGGTTATACTACTAAGGATATAAGTTGAGGGGAATGGGAGTATTAAAAAATAGGCTTTGAAAAATTAAACAATTGAAGATGAGAATAAGGTGATAAAATTTAAATGAAAGATCCTTTAAAGGAGCAAAAGAAAATTAGTAGTATTAGATAACAGTAACAGAAAAAAACAAGATAAATAAAAAGGAATAGAGATTAAACTAGAGGAAAAAATAAAAAGTAATAATGATAGAAATAAAAAAGAGATGGTGAGAAAGAAAGAGATGGGGGAATCTGGGGGGATGAGAAAATGGGTCAAAAATTCTAAATTTCATAAAAAATAAAATTCAAAAATATATCAACAGAGAAGAAAAATTATTGGATCAAAGAAAGGGAGAAAACAAAAGAAAAAATCATCCATATTTCCATATGAGTGATTTTCTTCCAGAGCTTCCATGAAGTATTTAATCCAACAAGTTATGTTCCTCTCTGCCCCTCTTTATTGTCTATGAGTTTGTGTGATGAGTGCTGTGTTCAAAGGGTGCTGTTCCCTCTAAATGCCATGGGTCACAATTATTCAAGCCAGGACAAAGGCCCAGGGAAGGTGTGGGACTTTGGACTCTGGTTGTAGACTTGAGAGGGCTTGAGGCACTGGGTGTAGATTCCAGCTGGTGGGGGAGCAGTGCTGAGTACTAGTGGTCATGGAAACAACTTAAAACCCCAGACAGAGTCTTGTATCAGCCTGGTCCACCAAGTGGAGACCAAGACTGATGTGAATAGATTCTGCCAGTCACATGTAGGGCACCCGGCACTGAGTGGATTCTCACATAAGCCTGAGGCATAGGGCAGATCAGGTGGACCTTTAACCAGTACTGAGAGCCAGTCAGAGGTTGCAAGGAATGGGAGCATGGAAAAAAATACAATTTGAAAAATTAAGCAATGGAAGGTGAGGAGGTGATAAAATTGAAATAAAAGTTCCCATTAATGAGTAAAAGAAAATTAATAGTATTAGATAACAGTAACAGATAAAATGAACATGAAAAAGGATAAACAATAAGGAGCAGAGATTTTTTATTGGCCATTGGATTCTTAGTAGATGGATATGGGACTGGCTATTGTGCTAGGCAGAGATTCCAGCAATTCTGGGCTGCTCAGTTGAGACCAAGATGCTCCTAGCACTTTGGCAGAGTGCAAGATGGAGCCTCTAATGTTCCATGGAAGGGGATGGGTGCCTGGTACTGAATGGGAGCTCCAGAATACCTGGGGCACCAGGCCTTGCCTCACATAGGGCTGAGAATATCCATGGAGACACAGCGACTGGTGCTGGATGTCAGACACAGCGTCTGGCAGACCTAGGAATGGCATCAAGCTGTGAGCACTGGATGGGACTCAAGTGATTTCAGGGTGCTGGGCATGGACACAAATGGGTCTGGTGTCAGCTCTGGGTGTCAGATGGAGGCCCTGGCCGGTCTGGGGCCAATTTGAAGCACCCAGAAGTGACTCAGGCTTGCCCATGGCACTAAGTTGGGACTTAAATGGGCCCAGTATTGATGAGAGGTACCAGATGGTGACTCCAGGAAAAGCAACTGGATGGATTCAGTTGTCACATTTCACCTGATTATCCTCTGGCTGGCTGTTGTCAGGCTGGTAGGGAGGGAGCTTCCCTTCCCCTTGGTGAGTGCTGGTGAGAATACTGAAGGTTTGTAGCTTCCTCAATGACTAGAGAGGGGATGTTAGGGCAAAGGGGCCCATATACCCTGAGTCTATCCTGGGAGGCTAGTTTCTATAGTGCTTCTTGGTTTCCTCTGGCTATTGGGAAGTTCTCAAGATAGCTTTTCCTTGAAGAGTAAGAGTAAGGGACCTGTGGATTGGCCCTGGAAGACCACTTCGTTTCTTTTTAACTATAATCCAAATGTTTTGTTTGATCTACATGTATCTTCTTTTAAATTTATTTTCTTTATCAAGGCCTATGTCCCCTCCCTTGCTTCCAGTTACCTGTGTTTTTAGTTGGTCGTCCTCATCTATTCAGCCACATTGGGTCTGACGTCTTATGATTTTTTTTTGCTCCAACTCTACATTATCCTTTCAGTTATAATAGTCCACTACTTGTTTGTTGTTATTATTACTTTCTGTTTCATATTTTAGATTTAAGAAGAAATAATCTGATTGGCCTAGCTAATTTTTTCAAGCTAGCTCATACAGTTAGTTTAAACTCTTGGAACGTATCTTTCTCCTCACTCTACCGTAAAAAAATTATCTGTAGTAGGGGGAGGGAGGACAGGTAGAAAATATGGCTACTTTGGTAGGATCAGCTGTGAGTAGGACTTTTCACTTAGAACAGAGTGTAGGTAAACTTGTACCTTACTAACATACCCATGAAGGAAAATTACAGAGGTCCACAAAAGCTTGAGAGAATGAAATCTAACAAGGTTGGAGAAAGAAAAATGGCCTGTGGCAAAGAAAATGAACATGGGGAGTCAATTTAAGCTTGAGAAGAGGCCTTAGACCTGAAAAATAGAAAGGTGGGGGCTACCTCATAGGGACATTTCTCATATATCTTTTGTTTGTTTGTTTGTTTGTTTTTGGTACCGGGGATTGAACTCAGTACATTGCGCTTGCAAGGCAGGTGGCAGAACCACTGAGCTAAATCCCTGGCCCTCATATATCTTGTATATGGGCCATATACTTTACATTAATTCACATCTTCTGATTTTACATTATTCCCAAGGAGTAATTATTATGAACCCAGTTGTACAGATGAAGACAATGAAACCCAAAAAGTAACTCCAGAAGACAATAAGGGTTACTTCAAAAGAAAGGCAGACCAATGATTCCTAATTTCTTTCCATATTCTTTCCATGGGGGAAATGGGGAGGAGGGTGTGTGGAGGTGCACAAGGGATCCAGCTCAGCTTTTGCTGCCCTCCATGCCTCGTTTTGTCACTGTGATGTCATTCTGTCCAGAGCCTTCCATAGGGGACAGAGTGGGCATGGAGGGATCAGGTACTGACTCCAAAAGTAGTAAGGAGGCTCTGAGAGAAGTGAGTAAGGAAGAGACATTTGTTCATATTCTGTAAAGTGGGGTGGAAGGGCCTTGGCAAAGGGAACTAAAACCTGGCAATCAGTTCCCCTCTGGGTGGGCCTCAATCTGGAAAATGTGCATGAAGTGTGAGGATCGATATGTGAGCATGTGTGAACTGTACATCATTTACAGAGGTGAAGGAGCCCTTGTTACCATTAAAGGCGTCCTTTGAAAGGGAGGGGTGTTCATGGTGCCGAGTCAAAGGGAGAGGCCATGCCTATGTGGTGGAGTAAGGAGGCGGGGGTGGAGGTGGCAAATGAAGAGTCAGGAACTGGAAGATCTCTTGCTGACAGGTCAAAGAAATTGGCTTTGCAAAGGTTTGCGACAGGATCCATCAGGCTGCCCTCTTCAAGAATCCTCCTTGGGAAGAGGGAGCATGTGAGTGGGTGTGTGTAAAGGGGGAGTGGAGGTGATTGCTTGGCCTTTCTCAGAGGCAATAGGCTGGTGACAGAAGGAAGCAGGTCGGGTGGAAGAGTGTTTGGCCAGGAGCAAGACAAGGAGAGCAGGTGGGTCAAGAAGACAGTGTGGTCTTCACCATTGTCAAGGCTCTGTGCAGGTTTGCAGGAGGCTTTTTCAAACTTGGAAATTCTGCTCCCTCACCTGTGTGACCTCAGGGCAGGAGAATTACTTTCTCTGTAAACTGTGTGGTAGGGGGATCAGGCTAGAGCTGGGAGCTCCTACAGGTGAAGTTGACCCTCCAGAGTTCTGGGACAGACTGTTTTGGAGGGTGCCGGGCACTAAGCACCTGCTCTGTGCTACTGAACCACAACCCCAGGTCTCTGGGACAGTTTTCCTGGAGGTTGGGTGGCAAGTGGGGCTTGGTGGGGTGAGAAGCCCTTGGTAGAAGCAGCACCACTGGGCTGACCTATGTGGAGGCGGCCTGGCAAGGCGAGTCCAGGCCTGCAGATTGGACAGGAGGGTGGAGATGGGTGGCTGAGTCAATTAGGAGCGTTTCCTGGAGGCCGTTCCCGCCCCCAGCCCTCTCAGGCTGGAGGCCCCAGAGCCTGGACTCTCAGGTAGGCTCTTCGCTAGCCGTGGCCGGATCTCTCATCCTTGGGACGTTGGGGACGGTGCTGTCAGGTGGAGGGAGGAAGGGGCCCCTTGTTAAGGGTTCTGAGTGGGCCCAGGCCACAGCACCTTAAGGGCTGGGACCGAGGGCTGGGGCGGGGGACGCCAATGCCGCGGCAGCAGCTCCAGGTGGCAGCGTCTCGGGCAAGGCAAGGCGGTGGGGGCGAGGGTTTGAGGAGGAGCTGAGCCGGCCATGGGGACAGTTGGCGGGGCCGGAGACAGGCTCCTCCCGCTTTCCTTCCCGCCTCCTTCCCAGAGGCGGGGCAGGCCCGGGGCGATAAGGGCTGGGACCGAGGGCTGGGGCGGGGGACGCCAATGCCGCGGCAGCAGCTCCAGGTGGCAGCGTCTCGGGCAAGGCAAGGCGGTGGGGGCGAGGGTTTGAGGAGGAGCTGAGCCGGCCATGGGGACAGTTGGCGGGGCCGGAGACAGGCTCCTCCCGCTTTCCTTCCCGCCTCCTTCCCAGAGGCGGGTCAGGCCCGAGGAGCAGGGACAGCTGCACTTCCGTGGCGCGGCTCCGACGGTATCACCCCTCCTAGACCCGGAAATGGAGGGAAGCCCACGGGCGGGTGGTGGAGCAGGAAACCCCGACGTCCCCGCGCACCGTGGACCTAGGGCACCCAGGACCTGGAAGCACAGCCAAGGCTGAGAGCCACAGCCAGGGCCCGGGCTCCTAGCCCCATCTGCATCCCCAGGCATTCTCGAAGTGCGGAGTGGGCCTGGGCGCCGGTGGGAAGTGGCACCAACCGGCATCCTCAGTCCCAGGTCCCAGGGCCCAGGAAGGGCATACAGTGGGGGTGCGCGGTGGGAACGGCAAGGAGGGCAGGAGTCGCCCTGGTGAGAGCGCAGGCCGAGGGAGGAGGCTTTGGGCGAGGGCACATGGTAGGTGCTGCCCGCTAGCCCGACGGGTCAGGCAGGCAGGCAGGAGAGCGGCAGGCTGTATCCGCCGCCGCCGCCGCTTCCTCCCCCACCAGCAGGACGCGGGCGCTGACGCTTGTTAGATGTGAGCAGTGGGCTAATTTTATCTGACCCAGGCCTCAGCAGGAAACCGACACTGAGGCGTGCGTTGTTCTTCCGGACGGGACGACTCGCTCCAGGGAGCGCAGTAGCGGGGCGTGGAGGTGGACAGGGGATGCCACCCTCTGTGTCCCAGTGAGGGTGAGGTGGTCCCTTATCCTGTCTTAGAGCCGAAGTGTTACATGTACTGCAGGCCACTGGGGTCCAGAGGAGGAAAAGATACCTTGGAAGGAAGATCGTACAGATCTTATTCTTCTTACTGTTCTCTCTAATTGTGATTCTTTCATTCCTGAAGTCCCTGGTTCCTCGCAGAGTGCCTGACACACAGCGGTGGCTAAGAAATTTTGCTGAAAGGACTTAGGACCAGATGTGAGGCGCTGCTTCTGGTGACCGCTAGAGAGAGCTGAACGGCAGGGATCAGCATGGCCTTTGAAGCACGGCCTTCTCAACCAATTTCTTTGGGATCTGGGTATCTATTTTTTTTTTTCTAGTTCTTCTGGGGTCTCTGCTAAATTTTAGCTTTAGAGTTTTTGAACTTGCTTCCAGCTCTTTCGGGTGTTCACCCTTTGCAGGCACAAACTGTCAGGCACTGGGGATTTGTAATCCCTGTCAGTTGGCCTGCTTTGCTAATTGTGAAGAAGTGGCATGAAGCTGCTGGCTGCCTTTTCAGATGTGAAAAGGCCCTGGAGGAGACCATACACTCATAAAAATGATGGGATTTCACTGTTTTGAAATTTAAAGATCCTGAGTGATCAAGCACAGACTGCACCCTTGGGTTGCTGTGGGGAGGGATAGCAGTCTTTGGATGGAAGAGCCTGGGGGCTGGCAACAGGACAGAATAATTAGCCTCGGAGGGAGGAGATAAGGTGTCCAGCAGCCTGAAGGTTTCTGCACTGAAAGAGGAGAAATGACAGCAGAGATGGTAAACGACCATCTCTGAAAGGAAGCTGGTCCTTTCTATTATTCCTGTCCTGCCCAGTGCACACCCAGAGGGATGGGATAATTTGTATCTCTTGGGCTGTTAGGAGTGGAAGGACAGTTGATGGAAGCAGATTTGCAAGGCCAACGCTACTTGAAGGTCTAGAGTGACAGGGACAAAAAAAATGTGAAGTATATGTTGGTTGGCAGTGAAGGTAATCTTAAGGTCAGGAGTGAAGGTGATCATGAAGATATGGGGTATGTTGAAAGTTAAACTTTGCTCAGCTTTTATTTTTTTCTCAGAGCTAGTCCTGCTGACACCCTTTTGGAAATGAGCTTTCTATACGGTTTAAAGAAGTGAGTGAATCCCTTTTCCCTCCTAGGGCTGCTTTCTTCACCTATGAAACAAGAAGTTTGGAGTATGTTGGAAGTCAATCACCTAAACTCAAGTCTCAGTTTATGTCACTGATGAGCTATGTAATCCCATAGCATTCTCTTCTAGTCTCTAGGTCTCAGTTTTTCCACTTTAATAAAATGCAGAATATGGACCAGGGGGACTCTGAGATTACTCTTAGCTTTGTCATTTTTTTGCAGGTCTCTTTCCTGAATCACCTATATCACCCTCCATTCCAGACTCTGTTGTTGTAGCATACATAACCCAGCTGTACTAATACTTTCAGATTCTCCATCAATAACGTAAAAGGAAAGGGGGTGGAATTGTATTATTGCTAAGGCCTTTGTCAATTTTCAGAGTGGCACCTTTGTAGCAAGGTGATAGCTCTGGCAATTCCTCTTCTCCAACTCAACCAGTAGGCATTTTCTAATATTATAAAGTTATCACTTTTCCACTTCAGAGCTCCCTTAAAAATTCAACTTCAGATTTTCCACTCAACCCCAAACCCTTATATTGTTCTTCTTCATTGTCTGCTCTCACAGGGAAATTTGCTCTGGCAGAAATGTGATTTGATGAGGCTTCAGTTCTAAAGCCAAACTTCCTGCTGTTAACCAAGTTAAGACCATTTCACCCTTGTAAGCAACATCCATAGCCAATTCAGAGTTTTAGATCTGTTTATTTTGTTCCAAACCCCTTGGGGATTTAAATGTGCCAGGTCTCAAGCTCCAACATTTTTGTTCGTTCTCCTAAATGTAACTGAGGTGCATAAGAGGCTGCATCCTACTCTAAATATTAATACTGTGCTGCTTTTGCCAACTAACATTCTCTCCAAAAGCATAGAAGCCCACACATGCACATGGGCATGTGTGGAAGAAGTAAATTGACACCCTGCAAATGTTATTTGACATCCAAATGGGCAGATTTGGGACCTGTGGATGTCTTTTCTTCATCTGGAGAGAAGTGAGTGGCAGCCAAATTCTTAAGATGTAACCAGCCAGGAACAACAAAAGAAGGCCCTGTGGAACCACCCTCTAGAGACTTGGTGGTGGTAGAACAGGGAGCAATGGAAGCAGTGGCATTGTTGCTCCAGTATTTTCAGTGGTTTTTCCTGGAAGTTACAGGGCTTCTGGGTCACATCTCCTCCTGTTCTACTACTATTTGAAAAGACAAGCTAGTAACTAGGCCCCTACCTATCCACAGAATCAAGACTCAGTGGGTTTTTCTTTGGGAGTTGATAAGAGGTGGAGTTGGACCAGTGGGGGGGGGACGACTCAGGACTTTGGCCTTGAATGAAGCCGTCAAGGGCTAACCAGGCCACAGCTGCCTATTTGTGAGAGAAAAACTCATGTGTGGGGATCATTATGTTTTTGGGAGCCCCCCTGGGAAACCTCATCCTCCTGGCCCCAGGATGACCTTAGTTTGCGGTGACAATTTACTGTTGACTTCATGTGACAGCCAGGGATTCCTGGTAAAAAGTTGATGAAAGGTTGGGTGATAGGAACACAACAATGCAAGCAAAGAAGGGGAAGAAAGAGACACAAAGACAAAGTAAGGAGAGAGAGAGTAGTGAGGTAAGCTGTGCTAGTTGGACACAGCCTGGCAGTGCCTTCTTGCCCCTAGCTAGGGGTACTTGGAATGTTCTGTTATCCAGAGCCTGGATATAGAGAAGCATCTGGCACCTGGTTTAGAGGGATGAAGGTAGTCCAGAGGGTATCTTTTCTGGCACCTTTAATGCACACTGAGTAGAGTGGCCCAGGATGCCCAGCATGGAGCAACATGCTTAGTGGTAAAGCCTAAGGAGGCATCCCCTTCCTAAAATAAATTGTCAAACCCTTATGTGGCTGCTGCATGTACCTCTTTGGGATCCAAGGCTAGAATGAGGTTTTTCCTAAAATAGTCCATTTCTTAGCCTGACCCAAGTGGAAATATTGACCTGTCACGAAAATAGAGAGATGGAGTCCTCTCTTGAAAGGACTCATCTTAAGAGATGTTAACAACCACTATATCTCCCCTCACCCTGCCAGTTTACTATCATCAGTTCTCTTCTTGCTGAGATGAAAGGAGTTTCTTCACAGTTTGACAGGTAGATATAAATGTGAAGAGATGGGAAGGCCTTCAGTTTAGTGCATTGGTTTTGGAAATCTGTAAAAATCAGTGAGTTCTTTCCTCATGTGATATTTTACTGTTCCAGTCTATGATTATATCACCTTGAGCCCATAATTGAGATGTGGCTCAGTCTGAGATGAGTGAGATTAATTCTAGTGTTAGGGGTAGACTGAACCAAGATAAAGATGATTGGCCCAAACTCTGGGTCTTTCTTTTCTCCAAGCAACTATGTGTCTATGGCAGTCATAAAAAGAAATAGAAGGGAAAGAAATGGAGAAGAGGCAGTAGAAGAAGAATAAAAAGAAGAGAGAAGCAGACTTTAACCAATAGTAACATGGGGATATCCCCTGTACACAGTTATTGGCAAGCCACAGTCTCAGGAACTCTGATCCTAACCAGGGCTACTTGTGTCAGCTTTGCTTCCCTTCCCCTACTCCTAAATGGTTCCCAAGGATGGAAATGAACTCTTCAACAAGTAAAAATTCGGATATCCCCCACTAGGCTCCTGGGGCGCACAGAGCACCTTTGGCAGCTGATTTTATAGGGTGACAACAAGCTAAGGCCAGGAGGTTGTATCCTCCTCCTTCAGGGATCAGAAAGTATGTGCAGTGATTACAAAGGCCAGAAGGCCATCCCAAGCTTGCCCAGATCCGGGGAGAAGGACCGTGAAAAGTTTAAAGGCATCCATGGGGGAGAATTTGGTAGAATGTGGAACACCTAGAGTTTTGGCTCCAAGGGAATGGTAAGGTGGCTGAAATGCTATGTGTACATGTTTGGGAATAAGTGTGCTGGTGGCAAAAATGTAAATGCCAAGCAGGGTGGGATGAAGAAGAAGGGCTGAGAAGGAGGAGCACACAATAACAAGAAAAAGGCATTAGACAGGTTCCTCAGGGGTGGGGGAGCCTGGCAGCAGCTCCCCATTGGGGTCTGGGTCAGGCACCAACATCTTATCCTTGCTGGAATCCCTCTGCTCTTTCTTGAACATTCTTTGATGCATCAGAGGAACAAAGAAGAGGATTACAGCCCCAATGATGGGGGGCACACCGGCAAAGTAGAAGGCCACATGATAGTCCCCAAAACAGTTGCGGAGGAGGCCTGAAAGAGACAAGAAACACAAGTCAAGCTCAACTTTGCTTTGCTATCCAAAAGTACTGTCTGCCTCTTCTAGGGGCTATACTAGTGCCTAGCTAGAGACGCTTAATCTTCACTGGCTTGACACAGAAGCTCCCTCACCTTCAAGGCCCTTGATGAGAATGTTCATTATGAAAGAAGCTAATGAGATGAGACGTCTCTTGAAGATTCTACATTTGTGAATTTCATCAAGCTACATTACCTTCCAGTCACTCCTATGGATGGAGTTAGGAGGAAACCTAGTTTAAAAGAACTTCACAGAAGATGGCCAAGCCTTGTCTTGGTACACAGTGATATTCCCCCTACCCTACCCCAACTCATATTGTTCTTGTGGAACAATTCAACTGAGTTTCTCTGAGTGCCCTTTCTCTGAAACTCCAATTGCCCTAAGAAGAAACTGTAGGTATATGTCTTTCTTCCCATTACAGATATGATTGGCCTTCTGGGTTCCTCCAAGCTACCAATATCATGGATATGTTTACTATGGGATGCTGGACCTCCTCTACTTACCTCCAGGAGCTAATATGAGGTACCTCTTAGGGAGGATAAGCCCAGAAACACTACCCAGGAAAGACAAGAAGGCCTTGGGCTTTTGCTTATTCAGGAAATAAGCAAAATAGAAAGAGTTGTGGATGCTGGGGCCCTATTGGGATTAAGAGCAAGGTAGATGCTTCCTTCCCTAAGTAAGCAGTGTGGCTGTTGCACAAGAGCCTGAGTGAAAGCTTTGTGACTATCACATGATGCTCTCACAAAACTTCACACATACTTGGTGCTCAAAGAATGTTTGTTGATTTAGCCCATTAGACCATCCTATGGAAAGCTACCCCATGAATCAATGTTTGGAATAAATCCCTAGAAAGGAAATGAAGTTCCATTTTCACTGGTTTTCCTGTTTCATATATTCCCTGGGATACCAAAAATGCCTTTCTGACAGGGTGGACTAGGGGTGCTGAAAGACTATTTTAACACTGCCTGCTACTCATTGGAGGTGAGTCTCACAGGCTCAGTCCTGCAGTGTTTCCTTAATCAAATCTCTTCTACAGGCTCAGTTTCAAGCTGATAGACAAGGAAGAGGAGAAGGGTGTCTCCAAATTTTAATAAAAGCAGGGCCCACTTTCTCTCTTCCTACTTCTTTTACCCAACTACTTTCGAAATAATCACTTGACTATGGAGAGAGCAAGAAAACAGGAATCAATAGAACAGTCAAGAAGGCCAAATGAATTTTTCTCTCTACTCTTCTGGAAGGAGCCATACTCTACAGTAGAACCTCAGGAGAAGACATATAGCCATGGAAAACCCATCCCCAAAATGAATCAATGTCTGTGTACTGTGTTCAGTTTCTTCTACTACTAGTGATAAGGAGTTTCATGCACTAACAAGGTTGCTTACACAGAAAATAAGAGGAAAAGGGGCCTCAGGCAGAGGCACTCAGAAGAGGTGGAGCCCAAGGAAAATAGGACTCTCTGATTGATGTCCTCTCTGGAAACCAGCCTTACCTGCGATGGGGGGCCCAGCAATCATTGGTAGGGCCATCATGCCTAGGAGGTAGCCAATGGCCTGTGAGGCTTGCATTGGACCCACCAGCTCAAATGCGATGGGGGCCATGATGGTGATGAAGAATCCATCACACAGACCCAGGAAGAGGCAGACAACGATGAGGCCCCCGAAGTCCCGGCACAGGGGAATCATCATGGACATTAGGCCCAGGAGCAGGAAGGAGAGGACCTAGAGGAACAAGGGTCCAAGGTCATGTTTTGCTGGCCATCCAAGATGACCTAATAAATGGCATCAACTTTGTCAGGTTTTTATTTTAACCATCTGTAAAATGAGGTGGGGTTGGGGTGTCAGAATCAGAGAGAGCAGTTGGACTAAATAGTTACTTATAACAAGATTTCTTTTTAAATAAGGGCATGGCTCCTGACCTCAGGAAGTTGGTGTGAAGAAAGGAAAGGGAGGAGGTAAGGATGGCTTGGGTGATGATGCGTTTGGGGACTAACAGTGGAAGGTACAGTTTCCTAAAATGAGGAGGAGCTGATGCCCATTTTTGTGGGGGGTAGATTTTAGAAAAAGACCATTGAGAGTTCACACAAGTTCCTTATGCTTTGGGAAATAGGACATATCATCTTCATCAGACATCATAACATGGCTCTGGAGGCCCCTGGGCTTGGCTGGACACCCCAGAAGACCACAGAGGGGACTTTCAGGGGGAACCAAGCTACTAAGAGGGTATCTAGTGAGCTTATAGCCAGCCCAGGAGCACTGACTAGCCATTGAGTTTTTAGGGGGGATGACCAAAATGACTCCAAAACAAACTCTTTCCAGAGACCGTTTTTCACCCTCCACAGAGATAATAGGCACTGGAAACACAGCAGATCTTTTGATTAAGGTCATTTACATTCTATACCTGTGATCTCGACTGAAGATCTGGGCTTTAGGCAGAGAAAGGAACCCCCCATTCCCTTTCCAGCCAACTCTTCCAGCTGGCTGAGAAAGGTTATCTCAGGGCTAGGGCTAAGACCAGATCTGTTTACTAAGGCCTTAAGAGGGCCAAGGATTTGCCAATAATTACTGGTTGGCCAATAAGTAGACTAATTTAACTAAATGCATGGAAGGAGTTGGCGTCAAGTCTTCTTTAGGTGCTGAAGATTTTCTGTGTTGTTGCTGATGCTGGGTTTGTTAGGTTGATCCACTTGTTTTTAGAAAGGATGATACCATCTGAGCAATGCCATCTGAGGACACATCTGTTGGAGGAACTTTGAACTTTGCCCAGGCTGTTTTGACATAGCTAGACAGAGACTAGGAATAAGAACTGTGACATCTCAGATTCTCTTTTAAGAAATTCACACACAACTATGTGATGAAATTAGACCCACCTATTGAATAGGATTGTTATAGAAATTGAGTTAACACCATTATATAGCAAAAAGAATCTAATTAACTGATTTTAATCAGTACTAATTGCTAAGTCATTGTATCTAAGTTGCCTTTTTTTAACATCATGATGCCTTGCTAAGATATAGAAATAAAAAAAAAAAAGATCATTGGAACTGAAAAGCAGGCCTCAAGAAGTGGTTCAAAGTGAGGCTATCTTGAAAGTTTATCTCCCAGGAAATCCTTGAAGCATTTCCAAAGGAGCCCTCGCTAAACTCACAGCAGGAATTTCTGCTTCTTACGGATCTAGATGCTTTCCTTAATATTGGAGGTGTCTTGGACAAGGACAGGATTTCTTTGCTTTCCAAGAGACTGTGCTGCTGCTAGTTGCCAGACAAGCGTGTCTGTCTTTGCCAATAGTAAGAAACACAAGATCTCATGCAGTGATGGTGAACCTCTGCCGGTGCATGGTTCTTCAGAACCAGAAGCTGTGGACCCCATTTCCTCTCCCAGGCCTGTACTCACACATCTGACCCAGGGAAAAAAAAAGTCAATTCCTGTGATGAAGTATCTTGAGAAATGCAAGAGAAAGGAAAAGTTTATCCATTCTCTTCTGCTCTTGGCCTGTACAATCAATTTATAAAATGACAGAGCTGGACTAAAAGTTGATGAAGATATATTTCATTTATAATATTCTAAGATTATTTGATATTTTTCTAAGGTAAAATGAGGTCAAGTAATAGTAAGGAAAAGAAGCAGGACCAGATGAAAGTTAGCAGAAACACTGGATTCTAGCCAAGCTCAGCTTCTGACTAGTTATGCCTACCTTTGCCTTGGAACTCCTGATGCACAATGGAAAGCAAAAGCTGATTGGACCCTACCTCTCTTCTATCAACTGTGATGAGAAGCATATGAGCTATATGGCTAGGCAGGGGCTGTTGCCTTGCTGCAAAATAAAGTCCTGGCTTGGTGCCAGATTATCCTGATCTCTCAAACCCCATGACAGAGAAGATATACCTGTGAGACTCATGCAAAACATGGTGGGAAAGCATATATACTCCTATGCAAAAAGCTACCCAGTTCTTGCTGTTATTTGCACAGGGATTAAAAAAATTCATAATTGGTTTATCCCAATCACAGTCTCTAGGTTAGTACTTGGTCAAGTCACTTTTCTCTGAGCCTTAACTCTATCATCCATCATTTAGGGTAAGGTGGAATATAAGGGTGCTGCATAAGAATTTATCTCTATCATGACTATCTGAGAAAGCTTTTCTTCAGTTTCTTCTTTAGTGCAATAGGAGGTTGGACTTGATAAGACCATATGGACACATCCCACTTTGATAAAGCAGATTCACCAGTTCTTGCAAACTAACAGTGGTAAGCACAACAGGAAAAATTAATCATGTCCTTATCCAAGACACCTGAGCGTACTTGGAAATGTACTTAGGGCCATCAGAGACAGAGAAATACCTGATATGAGTATAGTCCGGTTTCATTGGAAATGGTTCCAGGGCTTTCCTAGGATATAAGTCCAAACCAACTACTTTTCAGATGGATTATTTGTAAATACTAGCTCTCTGTGGTTGCCTTTGACCCTCCACAGTGCTCTACACTTGGCATACTGATAATCCCAACTGTAGGAGCAAAATGCATGAGCCAAGTTAGGAAGGTAGTACTGCTGCCAGGTACACAAAATTGATAACCCGAGTAGTAATCTGTACTCAAACCAGACAAGAGCCTAGTTCATGGAAAGTGGCTTCTGAAGCACCCACATGGCTATTGCCATGATGTAAGGAAAACTTTGTCTCCTCACCTGTAAAGTGACATAGGGAAAGGGAAGAATTATTGTCATTGAACAAACGAGGAAAAGTGAGAACTAGGGAGAGATTTGGTGAGATCTGGCCTTTTCTGGCACTTTTTTGGGGGGTGTCCATTGATAGGCCAATGCTTGATGACAAGTAGCTCTAGAAGTATGAGATGTGATGGACCTGGACCTGGAACTAGAGGAGAGGCACTGAGCTAGAATACTACAGATATCCAAGAGTTTCCAACAGAGTGTAGGGTAGCAATGAAGTAAGTCCTTACTGTGGTAGTAATGAAATTAGTATTTACTGTGGGATTCATCTAACTCTTGGCCTCAGGTTGACCTTGATCAAGTCACAGGAGATTCAGGTGGAGAGCCATTATTAACATAAAAATTTTTCTGTAAAACTTTCTGAAGGTTCCATATACACTTTACAGTGTACTCTGGATACTTACTCCATTTTGGTGAAGGAGGCACAATAAGAATGATTGCCTTTGTTTGAAAGCAAAGGATACTGAGACTCAGAGAATATAACTGACTTCTTCATGTTGCACAAAGTTGATGCCAGAGCTGTGGTCTAGTGTACTGCAGTGGTATACCCTACCATTCTATCCCAAGGCCAGGGGATAACCTGTGGCAGGCTGTTCCCCATAGTAGACAGAAGATAACACTTACCTGTAAGTAGATCTTCTTAAGTCCAGGAATGGAGTCACTGATATGACCTGACACAAGACGCCCGAGGCCTGAGGTAGCTCCAATACACACCAAAAGCACCCAGGTCTCCTTGATTTCCAAGAACTCCTCTTCAACATATTTCATCTGAAAAGCATAACACCAGAACCCCCAGAACAGGAGGAAGGGGAGCTGACTGGTTAAGTGTTTGCATATAGAGGACCTTTACTCCTCACTTCTCTGGACCAACACAAGAGCCCTATCTCCTGTATCTCTCTCCCTTGTACCCCTGGCTCCAGCACAAATTCTCTACCTGCTTCTAACAGCCCAAAAGTTTGCCTATCCCTTGGCTCTTTGGATTTTAAGCTTCTGCGATAACAGCGAGGAGGGTTGGTATCTCTAAGCTCCCTCTATGCCATGATGAGCTAAAATGTAGCCTTAACAACTGAAAAAAACCCTCAAGGATTCCTCTATATTCTCCCTATATCCTGACCCAAGATGACAGGTTAGGGTAACATCAGGTCACCAGGGGAGAAGGATCCACCAACTTCCAGGTAACTCTTCCAAAATGTGTTCTAAGTTTATGGAGGCTAGCAGCACGAATAGAACCAATAGTTCTGTATCTCTGTAAGTTCAACGAATGTTGGGTTAAACACAACTGAATAGGTTTCTTTACTGCAGTATTTGTACCTTAAAGAGATTACTACACATGAAGAGATGTAGTATATTATTTCCTAAACAAAATAATTTGACCACAAAGACGGGCATTGCACAGAGCATAATCCTAGAAAATCTTGAATTGAGCCATCTCGGCCAGTCTCTTGCATCACAGTTATGGTTATCATCTAAAAATATATCTAAATTTTTTACTGTAAGGAAGCTGTGGTCCATGGACCTTCCCCCAAGGTTCCTCTGATCTATGCTTTTCCCTCTCTGGTTATCTCCAACTACTGTTTCCTTTGTTTCTTCAAACATCTCAGCTTTGCACTTTTCATGTCCTCCACCCACACCCCTGCACTCCAAAAAGGCTGAGGGCAGCTTTTGAGGCCAGGTGGGGTAGGCCCAGCCTGGTCTTCCTCACCAGGTGTACATAGGGAACGAAGTAGCCAAGGGCCGCAGCAGCAATCCCGAAGGCCCAGATGCGGTAGGTACGTTGGCGAAAAACTCGCATGTTGAAGTACTTCCTGAGCTGAGCCAGAAAGCGCTGATGCAAAGTGCGTACACCTCTTTTGCTTGGGGTGTCCTGGGAGCTGGGCAAGAGGGGCCGGTAGGTGAGTGAAAGCAGCATAAGGACAAACATGAAGGTACTCAGCACCTGGAAGGTTTGGGCCAGCTTGATCTTATCCCCCAACATTTTGATAAGGAAGGGAAAGGACATGGAGAAGATGCTACTCCCAGCAGACACAACACCGTTGGCCAGACCCAGACGGCGTTGGAAGTAGTGGCCCAGGATGACGAGGGATGGCTGAAAGGCGAAGGAACAGCCACAACCAAAGAGTATCCCGTAGGTGAAGTAGCGCAGGCTTAGGGAACTGTGGGAGAGACATCAAAAACTATCTTCAGTATTCTGATCAGCAAGCCATCTGCTTCCCACTTTAGACTCCTGAGACCTTCATCCCTCGACCCATAACCCAAAACCTCTCTTGCCTCTGATCCTCAGAGCAGACAAGGAATAGGGCCTTCTGACCCACATTGTACAGATAAGGAAATAGGCTCAGGGAGATAATTTACCCAATGTACATAATGGAGGAACAGTAAAACTTGGACTTGACTCCAGGTCTGCACAAATCTAACACACGTCATGACACCCCATCAAAGACTGTTCAAAAGCAAGCCAGAACCAGCCTATGAAAAGGCTAAATGAGATGCTATGGGGAGTAAGTCAGTACTCTTGGAGAGACTGCTCATGTAGACAGCATGGGTAGGGTAGACTGGTGGCCAGAGCATTTACACAAGCAACAGCAAAGTTCTTCAAACAGATAAGATCCTGGAAGATTGAGAATCTCCATGGGACTCTAGTCTTTCTCCATGTTCAGGGCCCATAAAATTTCAGAGAATGGCTCATAATTTCAGAGATATGTCCTCCTCAACCATATGCAAAGTCCAGAAAGGCCAAGACCTTTACCTCAGGCCCTAGATGACCTCCATGGATGGTATAGTGAGGTAAGAAGTCTCTTTAATTTTCAGAATACTGCCTTTGTTGCTGGACATGGTATGGATTAGTTTTCTCAGAGTAGCCTGGTTGCTTGACAGAAAGAGAAGCCTCAAAGAAGTTTTGGGCCAACCCAGGTAAGACAGATCCTAGCTTAAAACTCTTAGGCCCTGCTGTGGCCATAAACCTCTGTTACAGAAGGCAAAATGTCAGAAGTGGAAAGACCACTGGAAGGTCAGCTTGGCCAGCTATTTGCCCTTGAACAATATTGATGCAACTCAGGAAAGAGTTTTGTTTTCTTTTTGATGACTGCATATATTTTGAAATAGTTCTTATCTGACCACTTAATTATCTAGTACTCTTCTGGGCCAAATAGTTATTCCCTAAAAAGAGACCCAGTCTTCATATTGAAGGTCTGGGCCTATGCTGCATAAATGATATGGTACTAGGTTTCCAAAGCTATCATCACTGTTGCTTTCCATCTGCTCATATTCACTGAACATGAGCAGGGGTTTTGGTTTCAAACAAGTGTCTCCATTTGGAACATATAAATAAAGCTAACCGCTTCTCTTCTCTCAAGTTCCTTTGGGCCTCTCTCATGAGACTTTAGGTACCCTATAGGAATGGTATGAGATGAGGCCTTATCTAAGAGAGAGGAACAAGAACTTCAGAGAAGGGGCTGTGATAGAAAAACATGGTATATAGTTCAGGGTACTGTGTGGTGTTTCTGGTTGGGCCCCAGAACTGGATGCCACTGAACAGGCTTGCCAAAGTCTCATCAGCACTACCTATACTTTGCCCTATTCCATGTCACCCAAAGGAAACCAGAGTCCTCTTTGAAACACTAGGAAGAAAAAAAAAAACCCTAGGTAGGATGACTTGGAGCTCTAGCCACAAGTAGAACCATTTATTCACTGGACATGAAACCAGAATTTCTTGGCTCTGGAAATGTTCTTAAAGAAAGAGCAAATGCATTCAAGGGGCCAGAGGCTGGAAAATAGAACATTTACTCCAAGGTGCCTAAAGAAGAGTGCTAGAAAACACTACATCTGAGCTCCTTTGCCTCCTGTGACTAGGCCCATTTGGAAAGGAAATGGGATTTGTATTTTGCTGATTTATTTACATGTTGCTTTGCTCAGTGGCAAACAACAGGCCTCACTATGGTATGTTGTGCTGAAAATGAAGCTACTTCTGAGGCTTTGTTCATTTCTGGGAGAAACCAGGTACTAGCCTGATGGGGGAAAATGAGGTCGACCACCAGAGGTGTCCTGAAAAGATTTGGCGCTGCTGCTCTGGGGGAACTGAGTAGGTTCCAGGCAGGACAAGGCTTTTCCCTTCTCTGTCACATTTGGATGGGACAAAGCCAAGAAAACATGCCAAATCTGAGCTTTTCTGGAAGACAGGATGGGAAGCTGGCAATGCTCAAGTCATAAAGAAAGCTGGATTACCCTCACAGGGCCTACTTGAGACAAAATACAATTATCATTTCTCCATTGTGAATGGAATCTTACTCCTAGAGATGTATGGCCCCTCTTTGGGGAGTGAAGCTCAGAAAGCAAGTCTCTGGAAAGTTAGCTCTGCCCTCATTCTAGATGAGCCTAAACAGACTGGCAGTAGAAGATACTATAACTTGCAAAAGGTCTTACAGAAAGTCAGAGAAGTTCTTTAGGAATCCTATATTTCTTCAGCTATGATGCAGGGTCTTTATTCTCTTCTCTACCTATACACAGCTTCTGCAGGGCTGACAGGAAAGCAGAAAATGAACTGTGGCCTGTTCCTTGCCTAACACTACCAACTTCTCCCATTAGGACTAGTGGGATTAGGGTTTGAGTTTAGTCTGTACCTAGCTAGGTTTCTGGGTTCTGGGTCTGTCCCTCAGTGAGGAATATTGTTAAACATCCTTCTCATGTCCAAGACATGAATCAGTTTGTACCAAATTATCCTTCTGTCAGCAACCAGAGATACCTGGAAAAGGGGCAGACATGATAAAAAGCCTTGGGCTTAACTGACCTTTCTTTTCAGCATAAGATTCCTTCTGGAATCTTGGAATGCTGGGTGTTTACATGGGTTGACTCAAATAGTTCACTCCTGGGCGGGAAAGTGAGGTCATGAGATGAGTGATTCATTGAAGGGGAATAGAATGTCAGAGCTTGAAGAGTTCGGGAAAGATCATCCTGTCTAATCCTCTTATGTTACGGATAGAAAAAAACTGAGGCACAGAAAAAGGAATGATATATATCAATTGTTCCATAGCCTTTCTGTGCCTGAAATTGGGCTTGGGCCTAAGACTGTGAACTACCAGTCTTAAACTTCTCTGAAATCTTTGGAACTCTTAGGTCCTCTTGAAGGACGTTTCCTACAAATGTATCCTGCAAACCCCTAACTAGATGAGTTCCTTTTCCTCATGAATCTTTGGGGGCCTCACACCGTCATGGCCACAGGGTAGAAGAGTGTCCCCAGCCAAAGTCTCAAAATGAAGCCAATCTTCAGCCTTGGGGAAGTAGACAGTAACCTCTAATCTTACCTGGTGAAGGAGCTGGTATGGAGGCCAATGAAAGCAACAGCAGCTCCTGCAGTTGCTGTGATTCGGCAGCCCAAACGGTCAGTGAATATACTCACAATGGGAGAACAGAAGAAGATCATACCCATCGCGAGAGCTCCTACCCATGCTGTGGAGAAAAGAAGCACAAAGACACTGTAGCTTAATGTGGTATCTGGTGATGCTGGTGAGAGTCACTTCAGCTCTTCTCTGGACTGTCAGAGAGGGCACTGCATTAGTCCCCACTGTCAGTCTGCTGGCCCCTGATGGCCAGAGAGGTGTGCAACAGAGGCTAGGTATTAAAAAATGTTCTAGCCCTGGGATCAGATTTAGCAGGGCCTTAAGGGACTTGGATTCACAGATAAGGACCATGAGGATAACTTCTCAGGAGATATGGTCAGGCTTGTCTAAGTCATTGGACAAACACAGTGAAGTGGCTAAGACTAAGGAACAGGGAAAGCCACAGACAAAAGTCTCCCAGAATTGTATCAGGATGTAGAGCAGATGGCAACCTAGAGATTTCTAAGGATACTGTCCAAGAGAGTCATGGAACTCTCATGTTGAAATCCTTTACCAGAACCCATGTTTGGAAAATTCCTGACTTCAAACTCAAATAGAAAACAGGTTTATTCTATCTTTAAAGTCAAAGAACCTGTAATAATCCTCACCAAGGAGGAAGAAATTTGCTGTATTGCATAGATTCTTCCAGCCCATTTTCCCTCACTCAGTTCCCCAGAAGCAAAGCCCAAACTTTATTTTCATCTTGACCTTTTCTCTAGCCTTATTTTAATCCCTTTAACTTTTGTTCTTTGTTTTAATTTCAAATTTTGTAATTATTTTTAGGGTTTGCTAAACATTCCAAGTACATCATCATTATCATCAAAAAATCTGTGTCAGCTGAGCAGGGCTCTTTTTTCCCCAGTCTGCTCCCCTCTTTTCAACCCCTCTTCCCTTTCTTATTTACAAAAATGTTGTTTCCATTTTTCCTTCTATTTTTTTTCTTTTCCTTCTCTTCCTTTCCCTTACCCCCTGCTTATTGAGTTTTGAGACCCAACTTACACTAGTCTCTTGCGACATAGGCATTATAAATATGATCATCTTCTGAGGTCATCTTCTGGCTTTCTTCAATTGTAGAGCCACAAATGAGCCAGAGAAATGCGTCCTGAACAAGATTAGTCCAGTTTTGTACCTTGGTGCCAAATAGGTTTCTCTGCTCCCTAGTGGACATTTTCACTTTGCTGGGGTCCAGTCCTGCGTCCTAGCTGCCTGCCTTCAAAAATATTGTCCCAAGACAGCAAGAGACTTGGCCTTTTATTATAATTTCACTTCTTATCAGCTCTCAGCCCTTAAGAAATAACAGAAGACATCTCTAATCAATTTTATCATCTGTGAAATAGGGATTAAAATTTTTGCTGTGCATTTCTCAAAAATTTTTTAAAAAATGAAGATCAGATGTAACAAGTGTGTTGGAGACATTAGTAATCATACTATATACAAAGTCAATACCAAATAAATAATAAACTTAAATGTAAAATTTATATGTAAAATGATAGTATTTCTAGAAAAAAGTATGAGAAAAATCTTTCTGATTTTTGGTTATGCAAAAGTTTCACAGATATTCATTTTAAAATATGACCCATAAGAGAAAATATTGATGTGTTAGAACTTATTGAAATTTAAAACTTCTCTTTGAAAAATTTATGAAAATAAAAAGGTAGGCCATAGGTTTGGGGATAACATTTATGATGCACACATCTGGCAAAGACTGGTGTGGGTTGACTCTCGAAACTCACTAAGAAGGGAAATGGATGAAAAGATTGAACTGCCCTCTTTCTAAAAATAACATCAAATTTGGAGGTAAAATTTTTATGTGGTAATATAAGTTTAGTTCCATATAGGTATTTTTGGATGCTGGGGACGGAACCTAGAACCCCTCACATGCTAAAGAGATGCTCTACCCATTAATTTATTTTGTCTGGGGATATAATTTAGAGGTAGAGAATTTGGCTGGCATGTATGAGTCCATGGCTTCAATCCCCAGTACCAGAAAAAAAATCAATCTGTTTAATTTTTAAAACATTCTATTTTGAAATAATTATTGATTCACAAGAAATAGTCAAGGTAGCTCAGGGAGGTTCCATGAACCTTTCACACAGTTTGCCTTTATGTAACTATGAATAGTACCATACCAAAACAAGGAAATTAATAGTAGTATAATTCATGTGCATAGTTCTGTTATTTTATCATGTGCAGATTCCTGAAACCATCAAAATCAAGATACACAACCATTTGGCTGGGGCTTTAGCTCAGTGGTTCCACTACCTGCCTCACAAGCAGAAGGTCCTGAGTTTGATCCCTGGTACAAAAAAAAAAAAAAAAAAAATGAACAACACAAACACCTCCTTGTGCCATTCATTTATAGTCACATCCAGCCTATTCTATTACCATCTCTAACTTCTAAAAACAATCTATAATTTGTTTTCTATCTCTGTAATATTTTTATTTCAATGAAGTTATACAACTGGAGTCAAATAGTAATTAAACTTTGATATTGATATTTTAGGCCCAGCAAATCCTCCTGAAAACACATATTTGAAGTGGGTTTTGTATTGACAACATAGTGAATCATGTCTTTGTTTTTCTTTTTTAAAAATTGAGTTTATTGGTACATTTTAGGCATACAGTACAGTTACTTTCATTGTTGGGATCTTGTACCTTTACATGACAGGTCTTGGTTCTCATTTTTTTCCCTTGTCCCTGCCCTCCCTTAACCCTGGCTTTTTTTCTATTCTACTCCAACAATCTCTTTTAATTTATGTATTTAGAGTGCTTACATTTGATGGAATCATCTGTACTTTAGGGCCATATTTTTTTCTGTTTATTCTTTTTCTTTTCTTTGTTTTATTTCTTCCTATCTTTAAAGCTTTTAGGGGATCCAACATGGTTGAATAAAGGAGGAGTCATGTCTGAGAGACTCAAATAAGATAAACTAAAAACACAGGTAATTGGAAACAGGGGTGGGACGTACACCCTAGTAGAGAAAATCAATTTGAAAGAAGATATTTGCAGATCAAACAAAATATATGCATAGGAGTTAGAAAGAGAGGAATCAACCCACCAGGGCTGTTCTGCAGGGTCTCCACCTTCACCTATCCTAGGAACAGTCATCTGGAGAACTTCCCAAATAGCTGGAGGGAACCAGAATCTAGGTTCCCAGGATAGACTAGAAGTATTCATTCCTCCTCATTTCACTTTGCTCTCTCCAAACACTGAGAGACTGTAGCCCTGTAGCATCCTTGCCAGCACACTCCAGCAGTGGGAGAGGTGCCCTCCCTACCCACTTGAACTCAGGGTGTATGTAACATGAAAAACAAATGAACATTTCTTGTGTCTAGAGTCATTAATATTGGGCCTTAGGCATGCCCATGTCTCCACTGGGTGGCTCAAATTTGTCCCACTTCAACCAGGACCTTCATCTGGCACACAAAAATTAACACTATCCCATTAAAGTTTGTGCCTGACACCCCAAGGCTGCTTGAGTTCTTGTCTAGCTCTTATTGCCCCACACCACCCCTAGACATGCTGGAGACTGTGATATCCAGCACCAGTCTTGGGAAGCCTGTGTCTCCACAGGGAGCCATGGTCCTATATGAGTCTATTGCATTGGACCTACTGGAGCTCCCACTCTGAGTCAGGCACACCACACTTACCCTGGGCATATCTTGCCACCAGTCTTAAACAGAGACTGCTCAGTGCAATAGTCTAGGAATCTATTTGGTTTGCAGCAAGGATTAAAGGTCCATCTGATTTGCCTGGTGCCATGGACTCCAGTGAGTCACCACCCAGTTCCCTGTGTCCTCCTTGGGCCTGTCAGAAACTTCCCACATCAGGCCCAGAAATACTTGGGTCTCTGTGAGGCTCCTCTTTTGTTTGGAGCTGGTCTCATGGGCACCAGAATATATTTCAGGCACCTAGAATTGGTCCCCACCCAGCATGAATTCATGTCTGGAGCCTCAGAGCCCAGTGCCCCACAACTTTCCTGGACTTGTGTCCCAGAGTGGACAGTTGTCACAAACAGGAGTTTACATTCAGGGGATGTTTTGAACAGAAAAGTCCCCACATAAGCCTACAGGTTATAAAGAGGGACAAAAAGTAATGTGCCTTGTGAGATTAAAGATCGCAGTCTCTGGGGCTGGGGATTTAGTTCAGTGACATCACACCTGTCTTGCAAGTGCAAGGTCCTGAGTTCAATCCCCGTTACTGAAAACAAAAACAAAAACAAACAAATAAACAAAAAACAAAAGCAAAACTGGCAGTCTCTGAATAGACAGAGGAATTTTTTTCATTTCTTCTGTCTTCTTTTTACCCATTTTTTCTTCTCTGTTATGTGAATTTTATTTTTTTTCTTTTTTGTGGAATTTGAAGTTTTATCACCTATTTTTTTGTTTCTCCTTTTTACACTTGATCATAGCCAAAAGGCCAAGAAGTGATGCTCCTCCTTTTCAATATTACTTTGTTTTATTTATTTGAATGGGTCCTCCTTTTTTCTTTCTCAGTTTTTCTTCTTTCTCTCTAGATCTTTTTCAGTTTGTTTCCTTAGTATTTTTTTCTTATTTTTCTACGAGTTTAATCTCTAATCCTAATTGTTCTTTTCCTAGTTGGCTTCTTCTGTTACTGTTATCTAATACTTCTAACTTTCTTTTACTCATCAATAGAATTTTTTGCTTTCAGCATTAACAAATTCTCCTCAACTACCATTGCTTAACTTTTCAAAGTCTATTTTTTCTTTCTTTTTTCTTCATGCTCCCATGCCTTTGTCTAATCTTTGCTAGTGTTAACCATTTACCTTTATGAATATGTAGAAAGCTAACTATCTGTTACTATGATTGAACACTGTTCTATTGTGAGTGGAGGTAAAAATCACTGTATTATATAAATATTTTACTGCATACAAATGTCTATTTTGTGTTATAACTTGTACTATTACTATAAACCTCATTTGTATGTTTAAAGGTGATACAATGTTTCTTCTTAGGGTTTGTCATTATCAAGTTTGTATTTGATGCTATTGTTGCTGCTCGTTTTAATATGTTACCCAAGGAAACATAGTTGTGGATATCAATTGATTTT